GATATTGGTATTGGACTTATCAATCGATTCATAACCTTTCAAACACAACCAATACAACCCTTTACTTGTAGGAGTACATCTTGGATCTGCCGATTATGTTATGGACGAAGTCCTACTCACGGGGACCTGGTCGAATTGGGAGAAGCCGTAGGTATTATTGCGGGTCAATCTATTGGAGAACCGGGTACTCAACTAACATTAAGAACTTTTCATACCGGCGGAGTATTCACAGGGGGGACTGCAGAACATATACGAGCTCCTTCTAATGGAAAAATAAAATTCAATGAGGATTTGGTTCATCCCACACGTACACGTCATGGGCATCCTGCGTTTTTATGTTATATAGACTTGTATCTGACTATTGAGAGTGAGGATATTATACATAACGTCACTATTCCACCCAAAAGTTTACTTTTAGTTCAAAACGATCAATATGTAGAATCAGAACAAGTGATTGCTGAGATTCGCGCGGGAACATACACTCTTAATTTAAAAGAGAGGGTTCGAAAACATATTTATTCTGACTCAGAGGGAGAAATGCATTGGAGTACTGATGTGTACCATGCACCCGAATTTACATATAGTAATGTCCATCTCTTACCAAAAACAAGTCATTTATGGATATTATCAGGAGGTTCGTGCGGATGCAGTGCAGTCCCTTTTTCACTCTACAAGGATCAAGATCAAATTAACGTTCATTCTCTTTCTATCGAAAGAAGATATATTTTTAGCCTTTCAGTTCCTGCTCAGGTGTCCTCTCTTCCCACAGTTCGAGCATATCGGTCTGCCATTGGTCGACTCCTTTTGATTCCCATCTTTCCCGCGCGTGCGCCCGTGGGACATCCATGGCTTCTTACCGTCTTTGCAGTTGAAGGAGGACCCGTTGCTCTCGCCGGTGTTATCGAGGAGCTTTAGGCGTGCAAGCCATTCCTCCTCAGTGAGGAGTAGACGACCCTCCTTGTCAATAGCTGAAATGGTATTTTTAAAAATCATCGACGTCATCGACGGATTCGCCGTCCTTAAAGTGGATCTCTGAGAGCTCCTTCCGCAGTTGCTTGATGTTGGATTCCTGCACTCGCTGCACACCGACCCGATTGCACGATGCGCTTGGTGGAAAGAGATGCCAACTCTCTTCATCACGGCGTTGGCCTCTTCGTGGTGTGGAGGAGTGAGTGAGCCTGCCTGAGATGGACCCCACGATGAGTGTGTTTTTACACTTTTCATTTTATTCAACTTGTTTGTTGATAGGTTGGCTCCTCCGCAATGATATACACCGATGGCTTCAACTTGGCTATGATACCACTTGTTGTTTTTCGATAATCAGCCAGAGAAATTCGGTGAGAGGAAATCATCGACGTGAGGTTGTTAGAAGAAAAATAAAATGAGTAAAATAAAAGAGAGAGAATGACTGAAATTTTGACTGTGTTCAAAATCAGGTTATTCGATATTCTGAACAGATTTTCTGTTTAAATATAAACTATCCTAAAAGTGGCTGAAGAGTGGCCAACTAAATCTGTGCCACTCCCTACAAAATTGCCGTCTAAAACTTTGGTGATCGATTCGACGTGTTTTGTCAAATGGTCAAACAGAGGTATTCTGAAATCGTGTGAATCTAAATAAGAAACAACTGAAAAAACCCAGGTTTTATCTAACAGCAGTTTGGTCACCTCTACTTCGAGCCCGCGTGCCGCTAGTCTAGGTGGTTCACCTCCTCCTATTAGGTCTTCCATCCTCTAGTACCTGGCCACCAAATCATCATCGTGATCAGCATCCAGCGTTGAATCCGCAGTACGTGGTGTTGCGAACTCCACTGGTTCAAGGGGTGCAGCTGGAGTTGTGGTTGGGGTTGGCATAGGCCTGCCCTGTGTAGCTACTGGCAGCGGTGATGGTTCTCGTTGCTTTGCTTCTTCTTTCAGCTCGATAAGAGGTACTCCACCGTGAATTGATTAGGTTTTGGTCCACCTCGGTCACGTCGTTCCACTACTAGAAGGTTCTCTCGTTGAAGATGACATCGCGCGGCACGTGAGCTCACCCCCCCGCAAGATCATAGAGCCTGTACGCCTTGCTACCGGGTTTGTAGTCGATGAAGATGACCTTCAACCCCCGGGATCGAGCTTGGCGAGGCGGGGACGCACAACCTTCATGTATGCGACATAGTTGAACACTCGAAGATGATGTACCGCTGACTTCTTGTTGTATCAGGCCTCATGTGGCGTCTTCTCGTCGAGGCTTCGCGTTGGTGACCAATTGAGGAGGTAGATGGCCGTCATTACCGCCTCTCCCCAGAACCTCCCAGGCATCTTGGTCGTCATCAGCAATGACCTTGTTGTCCTGACGATAGTCTGATTTTGGTGCTCCACCGTCCCGTTTTGTTGGAGGGAGTAGCGCACCGTTAGGTGCCGCTTCATGCCAAGCTTGTTGTAGTACTTACTGAAACTCGTCGAGGAGAATTCTCTGCCTCGATTCGTGTGTAGCACTCGCATCTTCTTCCCGCATTTGGCCTCCGCTCGTGCTTGAATGCACTTAATCGCCTCAGCCGCTGGTTTGATGGGCCAACAGATATCGTCGTGCACGAGCTCTAATGGCTCATCGACGATATAGGATGCCTGAGACGGAAAGGGGGTGCGCCTTTACTTGCCGATGAGACACCCGTTGCACAACCTGTTCACGCCTTCGATTGCCGGCAAACCGTGCACCATCTCTTTCTTGTATAGTTTTTGTATAGTATTTGAATCGTCTGTCGTTTTTTGACTAAGAAAATCAGAGGAAATCGTTGATGAGGAAAAAAGCCGAAGGAAAATCTTGAAAGAATAAAATAACAGAAAAACAAAGAGAGAGACAGTATTTCAGATTCTGCGCTAAAGACGGATGATTTTATTCTCATAGAATTGGATATTTAAATAACAATTATACCCTAAAAACGGAAAGGAGTAGCGACTTAATTAAAGTCAATCTACTCGTGTACATCCCAAAAAATAGTAACTAAAAATAGGGATGACTTTTAAGGTAAAATAGGGATTTATCTAAGATCATCCTGACTGCTTTAGGTCAGAAATTTTTAGGCACTTTCTTCTATGTCATGTAGCTCTTTTACCAAGTTCATCACGATTTTTGCGTTCGTCCACTCCATTTTGTTGTGGGGTATAGGCTGAAGTCAATTGTTGTGGGTTCGGCCACTCCATTTTGTTCGACCACTCTATGCTTTTTGCATAAATCGATGACTTCTGCAGAGTTGAATTCTCCTCTTATAACTGTCCTTAACCATTTTATTGGCATTCTAATTTCCTTTTCTACCATTGTTTTGAAACATGAAATGATAAAATGTTTTTAATTTTTGTACAAGAAAATAACTCTATGCCTTCCTTGAAAAATCATCTACATAGTACAAGTACTTTTTCTGGCCACTTGAAGCTTGTGAAATTGGACCACATAGATTTGTATGAACAAGACCCAATTTTTCCATTGCTCTCCATTTACCCATTTTTGGAAATGGAGTCTCATGTTGCTTGCCTTTCATACATGCCTCACAGGTGGTGTTTGGAGTTACAATTTGCGGCAGACCTTTCACCATGTTTTTGTGTTTCGATGTGCATAAGCCTTTGTAGCCGAGATGACCATAACGATGGTGCCAAAGTGTTTACTGATCCGTATTTGAAACTTGGAGGCATCTTCCTCCATTTGTTGTAGTAGATGGTTTAGTACGCAAAATAAACAATCAATTTGTGCTTATAATTGACTCTGTTATTTTTCCTTTTTGTGGATGATAAATGCTACATACACCATTTTTAAACAACACTGATAGTCCTTTTTCTTGTAATTGTCCAACTCTCAAGAGATTAGTTTTGAGCTCAGGTACCCAATACACATTACTAATAGTGCAACGAACCCCATGCAAAGTTAAGTTCACTACACCCTTTCCCATAACTTTCATAGTTGTATTATTTCTAAGTTTAACAATGTGGAAAAATGTCTTTTCTAAACTTGAAAATATACCTTCACTTACACACTTATGGTTTGAGCAACTAGAATCTAAGAACCAAGTATCACTCATTTTTGCTTCATGTCTTTTCATATGAGTCATTAACAACATTTCATCCTCTTCTTCCAGCTCTGCATAATTCAATTCGTTATTCATCTTTGGACATCCATATTGAAAATGACCTAAGTCATGACACCTACAACATTCAACAGTTGCTTTATTGAAAGTTGATCTTCCTCTTCCGTGTCCTCTGCCCTTGTAAGTTCATCATCTTCTGCGTCCTTTACCCCTGTAAGTTCCTCTTCCTTTGTTACTTATTTTCGTTCGTCCTTCGACTTTTAGAACTTGCTTCTCTCCATTAATGCTAGATCTTCGAAATTTTTGTTCATGCACCACTAATGAACTTTGTAATTTATCAATGGACATGTTATCTTGAATTCCTCAAAGATACTACTACATAAGTAAATTTTTCAGTCAGGGTACGTAAAATTTTTTATACAATTTTCTTGTCTAGCATATCTTCTCCATTGCTTCTATCTTGTTAGAGATTATCATCACTCTTACAAAATAATTTGTGATACTTTCATCATTCTTAATCTCTAGGATCTCAAATTCTCTCCTTAATGCATTAAGAAGAGATTTCTTCCCTTTTTGGTTTCCACCAAATTTTCTTTCATTGAGTCCTAAACAATCTTGGTTGTGCGACGATCCAAGATTTGTTCAAAAACAGTACGATCAATTGCCTAGAAAAGGTAATGTTTTACTTGGTGATCTTAGGGTCTAGCATCATCAAGGTGGCCCTTTTGTGCCTTAGTCAGCATTGTTCCTCTAGTTCTGAGATACCAATCTCCACCACTGTAACGCCCCCAATTTTCTAAACCTAATTAGTGACGTCACCCGTGCATACATATCATTACGCGGAGCTCATCATAAATAACCTTGGAAACAAAACAAAGTCTTCCATAAAAATTCATAAATCCAAAACAACCTATCTTAAAAGAAAAAAAAAAAAGCCTTCAATAACCGAATTCAAAAAAAATAAATCTAAATAAAGCAATACTTAATACTATAACTTAAAACAGTCCAATAAACGTAAACTCCTACAAATATCCCATCTCCAACTTCCATGGTGTCCTCAGCTCCGCCGTCAACCGTACATTGGCGTCTTGCCTTTACCTGAAAAATGTAGGTAGCACGTGGCTTAAGTATTTTATGAAATACTCAGTAAGTCACCCCACTGTTAAGATTAGGAATGCAAACACATGCAACATATGAGCGGGACCTAACTTTTCATAAACTTTACATGGCCTTGGATGCTTTTCTATTCCAGGTAGAGTTGGATGCGTGGTACTCCTTCACACACGGCCCATGTACGCATACATGGACCCACCAGACGGGCTCGTATACAAACCCCCTAGGCCTGACTTGGTCGGGCACACGTGTTACACGTTGTCGGACACTACAGAACAGAAAATGACCCGCATGATATCATGGCGAATATAAATATCGTAATTCATTCTATCGTATCATAAAAGGGAAGAATCCCGATACACGTGACATACATATATGCATGAGGTCCCTTGACATATCTAACATGGCATTACATAAGTAGTACTAACATCGCATATACGTTTCTTACATTACATGACATCTCACATGACCTACATTACATGACATACTACATAACATGAAAGTACATTCCAGTTGCATAAACATCCCATGATAGGACTCGATAATTCTACGTGAATCTATGAGATCGATCAACATATTCATTGCATATAATACTAACATCTCATTCATAACTTCACATAACATAAACAATCAACAATCAACATAATTCATACATCATATAACATACACAATCTACAGTCAACACAATCTATACATCACATAACCATATCACATAAATATGGTGCATGCAGGGGCCACAGGGCATGCACCATCATACAACACGTAGTAAGCTAATTCCAACAGTAAGGTCACTTACTTCGATGGTCTTGGTTGAAGTCACTCACAACGAGCTAATCCCAGCGGTTAAATACGTCCTATGATAACCATATAAAAACTTAAGAACCTTTCATAACATACCCTAGCTAAACCTCATGCTATTTATCAAAATAAACCTCCGACCTAATATGTCTTTAACGTTTAGGAACTATACTAACCTCGGATGGATGGTAAAACTAAGGGCAGGCTTTGGAAGGGTCGAAAACTTAGAAATCGATATATTATAGTGATACCGAGTCACCAAGCCGAGCTTCCGAGCCGACCAACTAAGCCGCCAAGCTGAGCTGCCGGATTTGACGGAGCCGAGCCGCGGGTATTGATGGAGCTGAGCTGCTGTACACGTCAAGCCGAGTCGAGACCAAGGCTGCAGCGCCCGTCCATGTTGGGCCGAAACGCACAGGGCCCGCGTTCGTTTCGTGGGCCGGTTCAGAGGCTGAAACCCGACCCGACTTTGCGTCTTCTTCGCTTGAACCCTCACGAAAACCCTAATCTGATGTGCCGCTGCCGCTGCCGACGCCGATGACGCAATCCCTTCGTTTTGACGGTTTTCCTTCTTTGACGCAACAATTCCGACGTTGATGTTAACTTCCACTCGACTCTTCCTCCAAAACAACAACACAATCGATTTCGAGAACTCACCGAGCATGAAAACTACCCAGCGAACCACCCACTCGTTTTCCTGGCTAACACTCGATTTTTCCGTACGAGCGTGTCAATTTTGGAGAGCAAAAGTCGTTTTCCAAATAAGGAGGAGAGTTGAATAGAGGAATATAAAAGGTCTTTATTGACTTTTCCTTTAAGTAACTTCCTTGTTAGAAATCGCACAAGAATAAATGCTATTAGAAATAACACTTTTTTCGGTGAGAATAAATGCTATTAGAAATAGCACATTTTCCGGTGAGAATAAATGTTATTAGAAATCGCACCTTTCTCGAAATTGCACATTTTCCAGCGAAAAATGCTAGCATAATATCTTTTCATTTTGATAGCAAAAATAAAAATCTCAGCATGAAATCTAAAATAAATAAAACAAAAATTCGAATCCTTACAAACACACTTCATAAACCCTTTGCTCTTAGTAAATTTTCCATCAGCTCACTCCAATGATCATAGTGACCATCGAAGTGAGAGATCTTCGCTAAAATTTTGTCTTCACTCATACTCTCTCTATTTGATCACTAAAAAATTGCACCTCTAATACCAATTGTTTTGTTAAGTTTTGATAGAAGAATAATTAAGCCAGAAACATAAGCAATTGAAGTGACTAATTGATTAGTTAGGTTTTGATAGAAGAATAACTAAGCCAGAAACCTAAACAATTGAAGTGATGGTATTATTGAATAAGCTTTTATAGCTTTACAAATAACCATAGTTTTATACTTTACAAATAACCATAAATAGAAACTAAGAAACAAATCTCAAAAAAGAAACTTAGTAATCTCCAATTACTCTTTAATCAACGGTTTACTTATTTTAGACTTCAATTTGAGGCGAATTCAGAATTGTTCTATTTGTATAATCAACAACTGCTGACATTGGTAAACGACCCAAAAAAATTTGATTATAATTCAATTGGGGATGATCATAAGTACAAAGTTCATATTCTTCTGTCATTGATAAACAATATGTTGGACAATATTCAAAAGCTCATATTCTTAGGTCATTGATAAACAGTTTGTTGGACAATATTCAATGCAGTTATCCAAAATATAATAAACAAATATTTAAACTAAATACCTAAAAATACTTACTATTTTGACCTAATAAAATTTTTTTCTAACACTTCCTCCCCTCGCAGTCACTATTTTGACCTAATCAAATTTTTCTAACATTTTCCCCTCGCCCACCCTCCTGATCATCAGGCTGGAGAAGGGAACCTGCCTTGAGCTCACCACCTGGTAGCCCCCTGAGCCGCAATGCGTTGCGCATGGATGATCAACTGGGGGGTGCATTCAGGAGAGCCTCATCACTCACATATTCTAGTGGGTTGACCCCTACAGGAAATAGGTGCCTTAGGAGGGGGAATGCACTCACGTAACTTCTCCGTAACTCTAACTCTAAGCGAAGAGGTAACTTCTCCACCTCTCACCACGAACCTCTCATCCCTTCCCACAATTGTCGCTCTTCAACCCATCCTTACTCTAGAAAGTAACAATTACTGTACAAATAAACATAAAAACAATAACAGTCAGATTTACTTGAGAAAAAAAAAAAAAATGAGAATGACCTTTACCCATTTGAGATTCATCCGAGATTCACGTGAAGATAGATTTGATCAATAAGGTATATATTAAATTTCATTTTCTTTTATCCTATTTTTTTTAGAAATCACAATAGTCAGATCTTCATTGTATTATTACAATGGTCTAGCTTTGATTTAGAAACTAAATGTCAATCATTTATACGATTCTAGTAAATCACGTTAATAATATCAGATTAGTAATATCATATTAAGTTTTTATTAGTAGCCAAATGAATAGATTAAAGATAGAATGACCAAGAAAACTTTTGAATAGGAAATACTGAGATAAGGAAAGATTTGGAAAGAGAGATCACTAGAAATTTGGAATATATGAGAACATAATTAAAACACAACAGATAACAAAAAAAAGAAGCAACAGAGATTACTAGAAATTTGGAATACATGAGAACAAAATTAAAACTCAACAGATAAAAAAAGAAGATGAGGGAATTAAAAACCACAACTAAATATAGAGGGAAAAGTAAATACAGAGTAGTAAAGTCCAGAATAACTTGAAATAGCTCCTATAACAGGAAACTGAAAAATAAGATTTTTAATACAAATATAATTATAGATATATAACAGACTTTTAACAATGAACCAATGTAAATTAGAGAAATAATGTTGTAGAGTTCAAACCTGAAACTAATGTCATGGGCTCATATAGGTTGACTCGGTTTTCAAGGACGAAATCGAACATTCATTAAAGATATATTCGTGATAACGACTTAAGCTAGCCAGGTAAGTGACCTTACTATCGGCATAGTTATATTTGTTATTGACACGTGCCCCGTGGTTCTGCACTTGTCATATATATTGATATTTGTGAATTGTCTGTGGATCGATATGCTTCTTATTTGTTATGTATAGGTTATAATATGTGAATTGTTTGATAATAATTACGGTACGATGTGTTCAATGATATGTTTGAGATAGGATACGAGAAGAATGCACAAAACGAAATGTAACGATAGGAGTAAAATATGTTCATGAAACGTTAAGGTTAGGTTACATATCATAGTGATATGGATAAGAGAGATGAATGGAAGAATACGGTTAGGCTACGGGTAGAAAGAGATAGGTTTGTGATAGATTAATAGAATGATAGCGTTAGGAATGATAGAACGATAGTATTAGGTTACGTTCTTGTGATGATATGACTGAGGTACGTTCACGTAATGATATGTCTTTGATAGGTATAAGAACGTTAAGGCTATGATAAGTTAGAAAACGATATGACTATGATTTACGTTATAACTTGCTGATGTTATGATGCATTGTGATGTAATATGTTATGGTATGATGTGTATATGATGAAATGTTATGTTAAAAGCATAGAACATTATGTTAGGTCTCTTAAATTGTGTGTATACAATATGAATTGTATGACATGAAACACGGTAAACTGTCTGGAATCATAACCTCGATAGAAATATGTATGAAATGTGAATTGAAAATGAGAATGACATGAAGCATGGAACGTGACAGGGGGGTTATGATCATTAATGATAAGTGTAGAAGTACGGGAGACCTCATGCATTATGTGTGTTCATGCATCTGGGGGGATACCCCTATCCCATCACGAGGGTACAGATGCGTACATCCAATGGCAGGACAACGATCGTTATGCTTTGCATAGCGCTGTTGTGACGGTTCTAGTTTTAATGGGTCCCGACATAAAGGGCTCCTAGAGTATGCCCACCGGATAAGGAAAGTGGCCCATCGGCGTGCGAACTAGTTGGTGAGCCCATACTCGCACGTATGGGCTGTGTGTAGAGTATATGGTACACGTCCACGATTACCCGTTAGGACTGCACCGTAGGGAAAACGAAACGAAACGAAACGATAGGTCCCATCATTTCATTGCATGTGATTGTTGCGTTTAACCTCAATAGTGGGGTCACTTACTGAGTATTTCTTTAAATAGTGAAGCCATGTGCTACTACATTTTTCAGGTTAAGGCAAGGTATTCCTGTACGGCTGACGACGACATCGCAACTCGAGACCATGGCACATGCATAGGATAGTGGTATTTATTTTCTTAGAAGGCTAGAATAGGATTTTTTTTTAACTTAAACTCTTATCTATTTTATTTAGTCTTTTGTTGTGTCGTTTTAAAGAAGTTTTCGAAACACTAAGTCCATGGCTGTGTTTTAAGATAAAGGTTATGTTTTATGGAATTTAAATAAAGTCTTCCGCTTTCAATGTTTATGGTACGTATATAGTAGTGACCTTAAATTAAGTACAAAATTTCGGGTCGTTACAGTTGGTATCAGAGCTCTAGGTTATAGATCTTGTAGACTAGCCTACGATGTAGGCTTGACATGTTCCATGGTCCCACCGTTGATGCCCCGTCTCCGTTAGGTATGTCTTGCTTAAGATAAAAAAAAAATGAAATGTCGTTGATTGTGTATGTTGTTATTGCTTGGTCATTATAAAATATAACTCATAATTGGAGTTTTACACTATTGATTGTATTATAATTTACTGCATTATTGTTGGCTTAATTCTTATTTATTAGAACGTGGAATATGTTATGTTTTATCTTGCCTGGAATGTGAATGTAAATTGTTGTATTGATGATGTTTAGATTTACTAAGATTGATGATGTGAATGAGTAGCTATAGTTTTAGTAAGCTACTAAATGTTAGTGTATGCGTGAAAATGATTTTTCTAAGCAAGATCATATGTTTTAGTTAGACGTCTCGAACATAGATAAACTACACAGTCTTATGATCATAGAGATGGAAATGATGTACCAATGTATTCTGAAGAGTAAGTAGTTTTAGATGAAATAAAATGACCTAAGAAGCTTGATAGATGTTAATATCTTATAGTATACTATAGATATTAAAAGTGGTAGTGTCTGAAAGAAAATTTTATAACTTTGAAGTATGTAAAGATGAAATTAAAGTATCAAAAAAAAAAAAAAAAGTTTGAGTGAAGACATAAAAGTTTAAACGTTTATACTTAATTGATTGATTGGCGAATGACAAAAATGCCTTTAATGGAAGCTGAGCTTTGGAAGTACTGAGATGTAGAAAACTTTCCTGCCTTAATACGAGTTGAAAATTAAAAAAAAAAAAAAAAACAAAAAAGTAATACAACCGCAATTATGAAAGTGAGATGATTTAAAAGTATCGAGCCACAGTTTGGATGAGACATTACGATATGGCCAAAATTTTAGAGGTATATGGACTGAGATTGTCAAGATACCTTAAATTTAAGAAACCATGATTTAAGATGAACTTGGGTGGGGATACATGAGGATTAGGGTGAGACATTGTCTCTAAATCAACTAGAAGTTTTGTGGTAATCCTCCTTCAGGTACACGAATGCACTCAGGAAGCTCGACATAAACAAATTGCTGTAGGAAATGACCGATAAATTTTTCCTAGCAATGTCAACCTGGTTAAAAGGTATTACATAGTTAAAGTTTCAAGACTATCATTTTAAGTTTGATTTTAAAGTATC